CTTGTGAGGAAATATACCTTCATCACCTGCATACGGGGTTTATATCTCTCAGTTGATTCGATACGCAAGAACATGCTCTACGTATGAGCAATTTCTAAAACGAGGTAAGTTATTGACAACAAGTTGATGAAACAAGAATATCAGCAGGCTCGTCATTTCGTAAGTTTTACGGTCGATTCAATTACATCTTCAGCAAATACAATCTATCATTAAGTCAAATTCTGACGACGTTTTTCATACTGATTATTAGGCCATTATTTACACACTGAATTTTCGACGGATTTTTTCGTTATTTCCCGATCATGACAAGGAGCACACTGCAGGTGTGACCGGTCGGCAGGGGATGCTCACTCCTCCATGGCACCTGATCCCACCTCTGATGTTTTAGAGGTCCGTGTTTGCTCTGCTTCTGATTTGTATTGTTTAATAGACTTTTGAGCTTGAATACTGTTCGTTATCTCCATACATTTCATTACTGCTCCTTGGCACCTGATCCCACTCCTGGGGGCCCATGTTTATGCCCTGTTCACAAATGCGTATTGTTTCATGATTTTTTTTTTTAGATCAATCAATGTTCATTATCCTTTTTAATTGCAACTTTGCAGAAAAATACATTAGCTGCGAAAGCGGGTAATGATCTATCGAAGAGGTGGTTTCATAAAAATTTGATCTTTCTTGTTTGAGGTTGATAACGATAATCGATTGATAATTAAAAGAACAATAAGTTTTATACAAGATAAAGGCGAGTTATTTAGTGGATGTAGCTATAAAGTTTTATTCTTTTATATTCAGAGAATGATTAATAGAATGTTTGTAAATTATTACTATTAAAATATACATTTCTATATAAAATTGTAGGATATATTTTCTCTCTAAAATTCCTGTTTAGGACTCTTTATGCACTGTGCACGAAAGAATTCTGATGCTTAGGTATTTTGATGGTTAGAGCAACCTGTCCTCAGATATAAAATAAAATTGAAATAACCATTGTATAACTCAATTTGCTATCAGGTCAAGCATTTTTATAGACAAAAATAAATTAATTGAATACTTTATTTGCTTGTATTTTCCCCCAAATAAGTGATCAGTACTGATTTATATCATTAACTCTTCCTTTTCATTCAATATTTCTCCTCGGGTAAACGCTAGGTACCCTTTCTTGAAAATGTAATGAATCAGCTTACTTTTTACATTTTTATTTTTTATATTACACTTTTTAAAATTTTCAAATTGTGCACAAAATTGCTTTACTGTATAGATTGTCGTTAAAACTGACAATCTCATTATTTATTTTGAACTATATTTTAAAATATTGATTTGAATAAATCTTACTTTCTTTGATGGTTTTTATCTGAACTTGATAAAATGAATTTGTTGGCCTTGACAATATTTAATTTGGTTGAAACTTACTCTTTTTGACAGATTTAACAATGTTGAACCTATAAGGACCGTTCACAGGTATACTTAGATACTGATCATAATAAAATCTAGCATCCATGGCCGCCAGAATTCTTTGTTGTCTAAATTCTCTATCAATTCTCATTACCTGAAACATAAAAGTAGATACAAGTTGGTTTTTTTTTTCAATTTTCACTATTTTCATGCATCTTAACAATAAACTTTTTTTTACATACATATTATTCTCACGTGGATTTTCTTTTAAAAATGCTAATATTAACGACATATTCAAAGAACTTAAATGTAATATTTTGCCAACAAAATTTCACAAATATTTTCCATTCAATAAAATTTTATCGTATCCATTTTTTTCCTTTTTTCGTTGACTTTTAAAAATATTTGGGGAGAGGGGCTTATTAAAATAAAACGAAACAATTGTCAATGTTTGCTAAACTATTATAATTCATTTTTTAGTGAGAAATAGTTAAATCAAACCCTTTAAATCACTTTGAAAAAAAATTAAGCATTGTCGTCAAAATATTCGCATTATTAATAGATGTAGACTGATAGATGCACCTGATCTACTTTCTGGTGTTTTTAGATTTAAGTTATTGCTCTGCTCACAATTTGTTCTCTTTCAATGGTTTTTAAAACTTGCTTTTTTTTCACTAGCTATATATTTCATGCATTATGATGATTAAAGATTAATATTCCATTTATGAAAAATACGAGGATTGATACAAAGAGAAGTCACAACTTCCATAAAATCTTAAAAAATTAAATGTTATGAAGAAAATTTGACATACTAGTACCCGTTTATATTTTAATTTTTGCCTAAAAATTTGATTATTTTTATAATTATATAAAGTACTTTTTAACGTATTAACTGAACTAATGTTAGGTTTTGTCTATCGCCACATGGCAAGAAAGTTACCGACTTCGAATTCGTTATGATGTTACTTTTTGGGACTCATTTTTAGTTTATCACTGTATCTCTTTAACCTCTCGTGCTTTTTCCTAATAATCTTTACTACATTTTTTTTTTCTAAAAACCGGCTTAATTTGAATTTACTATTATAATTATTTGAACTCTGTCCAAATGTTATTACTAAATTTATTTCTTTATGCGAAAATATTATGTATCATCAGATTTAAAATGAATGTTTTAAAAGAAAAGTCATAATGACGTCGGAACATTCCTTTCGTGCAACGATAAGCAACATTTTTTTTAAAAATATTTTATAAAGTATTGTACATATCTGAATGAAATTTTAGGATAAACGTCAAAATAGATAAAGACGTGAATATCAAGTTTCGATTAAAACATTTGATTACACTGAATATTTTATAGAGTGTGACTGTATATATATATATATATATATATATATATATATATATATATATATATATATATATATATATATATATATATATATATATATATATATATATATATATATATATATATATATAATAAATATTTGTCATAACTTACTTACGAAATGTTCTTACTTTGCAGGTTCGGATCCCATCGATGAACGTACAGACCAGGCATTCGGATGAGACCGTATCAACTGAGGTCCCGTTACGCAGTAAGCGCTGGCACGATAAAGATCCCATTGCTCAATAGCCCTAAGTGCCGAGTGTAAATTTGCAGTCCTCCACCGAGGATTCTCGAATTAGATGTTAAACAAATAAATACACAAGACTTACAAAATGCACACGTTTCAAAGGAGTTGTAGAAATAAACTGAGTAAGGGATATGTACTTTCTTCTCCTTTGTGACAAATAAACACAAAATATATGAATTAAAAGTCTTTTATTTCAAGTTGTTTCCAGCGATATTTATATCGAGACGTCATATGAATGGAAGTAACTATTATTATATTAAGCCATTGATAAATCTCAATGTTCAGTTGAAAGCCATAGCAGTTGTTTTCTTTTGCTCAGTTTAAGTCTTTGAATAAATTCTGTTTCATAAGAATACAAAAATATGGTGAAAATAATGAACTTTGATCAATCTCAAAAAATCTATAAACAATACAAAACAGGACATTTACACGGACCCCCGGAAATTCCAGAGGTGGGACCAGGTAACCAGGAGGAATGAGCATCCCCTGTCGACCGGTCACATCCGCCGTGAGCCCTATGTTAGGTCAGGTAGTCGGAACATTACGCAGTCAAATTCAGTATAAAAACATAGGTCTTACATATGTTTATGCGGAATTGGTACCCTTGGGAATTCCAATAGATTGTTAGAAGACCTGAAAATGGAAATATTTGTCTGGAAGTGAATAAAAGCCGATGCTTCTTTTTTTTTTTTTTTAAACTAATTGCACATATATGTGATTTGATTTTCGGGGTTGATTTTTTTTAAGTTAATGTTTGAATTTATATTTACTAAAACAATTCCCAACTGATATTTGATTCATATAATCTAGAATTACGTAATTTGAAATTTTATGATAAAATAAAAAAGTGAAGGCGGGAAAAACAGAGAGTTTTGTCCTCATTTTACCATTTGAATATCTGTGTTAAAAAAATGTAAGCAAGTGCATCGCACACAGATTTCCTCCACCCTCAGATAAATATAAATGTAGTTTACCATTTTAAACCTATTGCCAACAATTTTTGTTTGGACTTACAACAACCTCAATTGCACATTTCTGTTATCCTGGAAAATTTTAAAAAATCTTTCGATTTTCAAATGATTGTAACGATAAATCATATCTGGCAATCTAGGAAAAGGTATAGTTTTCTGTAATTGTATGTAAAAGTTCCTTTACAGTCAAACAGAGAACTAGGATGTACTGACTGGCATACCCCCCACCCCCCACCCCCCCAAAAAAAAATCAAAAAGACGAGTGAGAAAAGTGATGATTATTTTGATTTTAAATTAATTTAAATTATGAATTGATTATTCGAGACATCTGAAATAATATTATATTTTAAAGATTCAACTACACAAATAGGTGTAATAGTTATCTTCATTTCTTCGCGTTTGGTTCTTTGATGTATTTTGCATTGTTTACAGATCAATTTTGAACTTCAGGAAAAAGAATTGGTTTCCTTACAGTGATATTTTTTCAGAGTTAATTCCAAGAGATATAAAATACTTGCGTTTAAGCCTTGAAGAAAAATCTAAAAATGCCAAACATCTATCAGTTCTTATGTCATTGATGAATTCCTAATAATCATTATTCATATTTTATTGTCATTTTTTGACATTCAGTTTACGAAATTAAAGTGAAATTTTGTTTGTACTCTTAGAATATTTAACTTAATTCAATTTAATTTAATTTAATTTAATTATATTCAATGTACGAGTAATAATATTAGCTTGTAAAAAAAAATAATTTTCATCATTTCATTTTATTTATTGGTAATGTTTCCTCTTTCTTTATGAGAAATGCTAAACTGAATTAATGTATATATTTTTGTACTTAATTTTATTTTCAATATTCGTAAAGAAGAATTAAGAAAACAAGAATGAAATCATCCTGTAAATAAATATCTCCATTTCAATTAAAGAGGACTTGCAAGTCTTACTGTAAATCAATTTTTATCGGTAACAAAACACCTAGAATTTCCGTGAAGTTATAATGACATTATTGCATGTGACACCAAAGGCCGGGTTGGTAACACCTGATCAAGAACAGTCACGCGACCTTTACCGTCCATCGGTGTAGTTAGACTACGCTCTGGAAGCGGTAAGCATATCCAATATTTGTTTTTCCTATTTCTTTTAAGTTTGGTGTTTACTATCATTTACCGGTACACTCTTACCATAAAATATCTAGATATATGTTGAGAGGTTTATGCCACATATATACCTACAACTATTTTATGTTTTCATTCAACAATGTCATGTTTTTCAAATTATTTTTACTTACAGGATATAATAATTGATAAAATATTTCAAACAAGGGCTTTGAAGTATTTTATTTTTATAAAACATAATGCCAGAGTAAACTTCTTAATGTATTAAATAATTCATGTATGCTACCTAGTGTGAAAAAATTGTATCAAAGTGAAATTAACAAATTACACAAAAAATATTGAAATCTTTTTAAAATAAATAGTAAACAAAATATAAAATCGTAAAAATTAAATTCTTTTGTAATTGAAGTGTGTTTTAAATTCTGTCTCCAATTTTATAAAAATCTTCTACATATTGCTGCAAAAATTATGCAAATTATGTCATGAGAGATGACGTCGAAAACAGTGCATGCATTTTTAAACTGTTCTGCTGAGTAATCAACACATTATATAATTATATATATATATATATATATATATATATATATATATATATATATATATATATATATATATATATATATATATATATATATATATATATATATATATATATAATTTCCTTGACTTTTCTGAGAAAAAAAAATTAGCAAAACTCTTGGCGTTGAATTAAGTTGGGTAAAAACAAAACTTGACGCTATTTTTTCTGATTTTGTTAAGACTTTCAATGCAGATTTCTCGCTAAATGAAATTAAGACTTGATAAAGAATCCTAGATAAAACGTTTTGAAATATTTGGATGCTTTTAGTAGGTACCCTTGCTGATGAAGTCTAACATTATGTGGACTCTAATAGCGTGCTTATGTGCGTTGGCAATTTCCGGAACCAAATCCCAGTCATTCTCGGAGCGCAGTTTGAGGCCTGAGAGCGCCGTTCTCGTGCAGTCTTTCCGAAAGTACTTGGCAGGGGTAGAAAGAAAAAGACGAGACGAACTAGAGCGTAATGGAAGAGGTTAAGGACAGTTTGAAATTATATCCTTATATAATTCTCCAGGGCCAAAATTGATAAAATCTATAAACATTATGCTGCTTTCAGAGATAACCTTTTATTTAAATGAATTATGATTCCTTTGTAAATCATATACAACTAATTAATATGGTATCAAATTCAGATAACAAAAAGAAATTCTATGGATGTACATTTAAATGAAATGAATTTTTTTCCCGAAACAGCTACCTCCAACTCAACACAAAATCCAATGAGCAGTCTTCTCTGTACCGATAGGAAAGATTGCGGAAACATTATTCAAAACTTTGGTCTCTATCTGGATCCCAAATCAGCACTGCGCATGTGTAAAACTGGCCCAAAGGGTTCCCAGCGAATTCTTATTCAGAGTAATTACGATACTTCCCCATACTGCCAGTACCTGCAGTCCCACTTTAATATCTGTGAAAACAAGACGGCGGTAATGGAAATCGGGTGTCAGTTTACTTGTGAGAAATGCAAAGTTTGCGGTAAGGACTCACTCCTTTACTTATATAACCGCCAATTTAAACAAGTAGCTTCTGCTCTAAATCGCCAGATCTATAAGTTTTATTAATTTGCATAAGATTGTTAACAGATCTTTTTAATCTTACTGATTATGAAAAAAGTATTGATACTGTTGTTTTTTTGTGGTTGTTGCTGAGAGCTTTGTTATCAGCATTGGATTACATAATATTTTTGATTGGCTCTCTTACATTCAAATTACGATAAGTGATTGATGCAAATTTATAAAAACCTTGTTTATATTCCAATATCCATGTTAACAGTTTATGAATACATATTGGTTTTCATAAATTCAGATGACGACGAGTGTAAATGCAGCAAGTACTCCAAGGGAAAATATGTGGACGGACGCTACGTATGTAAATGTAACAAAGGATTCCGTGGGGACGGCTTCACCTGCCTCAGTAAGAGCAGTCATTTCTAACAGTTGTTCAAGACGAAAGATAAAAGCAAGCATTCCAATAATTAAAAAAAAAAATTTAAAAAACCTGTTAAGAAAAATTTACCATCATTCTATAGAAATGTCAGATAATCATCAAACAGAGTGACTTTACAGATATAGACGAATGTAAAGAGGGGTTAGACGATTGTCACGATACACGAGCCCATTGCACGGATCTGACGCCTTTCTGGAAATGTTACTGTAAGACAGGCTACAGTGGAGACGGGAAAACCTGTGAAGGTGAGCAGTGGGTTTTGTGTCAACTTTTGTGATTGCTTTTCTTGAAAAATTACCAAGTATGAATACTTCAAAAAGCTGGAAAAACATATATAAATTTGTGACCTGATCTGTAAAAAGTGAAGGTCAGATGAAGCTTTGTATTCTGAATATCTAATGCTTCTGTACCTCAGATGTGGACGAGTGTGCCAAGAAGGCGTTCGCTCCAAATAAAGAATGTGACGAGTATGCTAACTGTACAAACACAGTGGGCAGTTATTATTGTACCTGTAAAACGGGATTCACCGGAGATGGATACTTCTGCAACGGTCTGGAAAATACCTTATTTAAAATAATCATCTATCATTTTGGCCATATAAAAATGTAGATATTAAAACATTAAAGTTTTTATTTACAAAATCCATTTATTCTTATACATGCAAAAGAGAAAAAATTAATGTGTACATGTATTACAATTCTTTAGGTTGAATGAAAATAATAAAGATTGAGTATTATTTATACTTTCAAATTTCGAAAATATTTTATGTGCATAGGAAAGGTATATAAGCATTTTTATGTACTATGACCTTTATATTATGTAGATGAAGACGAATGTAGATTAGCAAAGGACTCGTGTGCTCGTGATTCCTCTGACAACAGGATAGCTCGCTGTACCAATACGTTTGGTTCCTATAAATGCTCCTGTCATGAAGGCTACAAGGACACGGGAAAATCTTCAGACGGACGGCAGTGTGTTGGTATGAGAAAATAAAGAGAAATGGGGGTAACAAGTCTAGCAATTAAAGAAATAACGTTCCTGGTCAATTATATAATTATATTAGAAAAGGACTGAAAACATATGTATTTAACAATTTGAATCAAGTCAATTTTGTACTGGATATCAGATTTGTTTGCCTTTCAGATCGTAATGAATGTACTGAAGGAGGTCACAATTGTCACAAGAACGGCTTCTGTAAGAACACCATTGGTTCCTTTACGTGTGGCTGTAACTCGGGATATGAAGGAGATGGAGTGCGCTGTGTTTGTGAGTATTTTTCATGAAGAATATTCCCAAAATTCTTATTAGACTTTGCAGTTTAGTAATGGTCAATTTTGCATTATACACTGTATAAGGATTGAATATATCTACTTGATTTCTACTTTCGGAATCATGTCATTTTCTTTCAGAAATGTAAAAGATTATAGAGATTTTGTTTCCAGCCGTAAAAACTGTTTATTTACTTTCATTTTGGACTGGTACTTTGCATAAAATGTAATCAGGAAGCATTGATAAATAGAAACACTTTTAAACGTCAGAAATTGTATGTTGTTTTGTTTCAATCCTTTAAGGGTCTAACCCATGTCTTCAACTCAACAACAATACCTGTGATTCTAACGCCGAGTGTATCGCTGATCTGGAGCATCATAATTACACCTGTCAATGTAATGAGGGATACAGGAGCACTGGCAGCAAGCCTGGAAGAAAATGTGACAGTAAGGAATCATTTTAAAACATTATCATAGAAAAAAAGAATATTATCCCTTTTCATTTCAATCATTTTTATCTTGTACTGCTGTCAAGATGTATAAAGATTTTGTAAAGTCAATGTTTTGGAATTCAAGTTGTGAAAATAGTTTATATATAATACTTCGTATATAACGTAAGATTTTTAGAGGCTATAATGTCTTTTTAAAGTTCGGATTATCAATATGTTTAAATTTTTACGTACTTTTATTTACATCGGATTCTTTAAAAGTTTAACTTTAATTGTTTTATTTATAATATCAGACATCAATGAGTGTCTGGAGGGAACCCATCAATGTGACAAGAGCAGGGTGAGAGCTACTTGTACGGATACAGTGGGCAGCTACAAATGTTCCTGTAACAGAGGCTGGGAGGGAACTGGTTCTCCAAACTGTACTGGTAAGTCTTATATCTCAATGATATCTCGTTAGAAAACAACTCGGGGGGGGGGGGGGTCTGGTCAAGCTTAGGCAGGTACATACTGTGCACAAGAAAGCAAGGAAACTGTTTTCAAGGAAGAAACTAATTATGAAGAACAGGAAAATAACATCTGTATTATTTTGCAGACGTGAATGAATGCTTCGATGATACACACAACTGTGTAGGGTTAGCTATGTGTGTGAATACTCCGGGATCCTTTAGATGTGAATGTCCCAAAGGTTACGCGTTGGCTGCAAACAAACGAAGTTGTGTTGGTGAGTGATGTCAACAAAATTGCAGTGAATACATTTTATACATCGATATTCATTCTAAGAACAAATTCAATAACATTGACTGTCTTGATTAGTATTTCATTAATACTTTTAAAAACTATTTTTTTTTCAGATATTAACGAGTGTGCTCTAGGTACAGATAATTGTCATAGTTTAGCGACCTGTAAGAACACAGTTGGTTCCTTTACCTGTACATGCAAAGTTGGCTATGAGGGATCAGGAACAGTGTGCAGAGGTATACGGCCATTTTCTTTTTATATTCTCTCAGGAAATTGTACAAATCTGGCACATTGTGGGTAGCTATACCTCATTTATGTATATTTTAAATTATTTAATGGACTTTTGAGCTTGAATACTGTTCGTTATATTTCATTTTGTTTTGTTGACAGACATAGACGAATGCAAACGAGGACTAGATAAATGTGACGCACGTGCCACCTGTATTAATACCCAAGGCTCCTACACATGTGCGTGTAGAACAGGATTTGCAGGAAATGGATTCAATTGTACAGGTAAGAATTTTACATGCAAGGCAAGTCATTTTTTTTATACAATAATAAATGATTGTTATAATAGTATAGAAACATCCTAAAATTATTTCATTTCTTAAGATTCTTGTAACTTCAAACGCATGTTATAAACGTCTTGATTATTTCTACAAATAAGAAGCTACATATTCCACATTTGACAAACTTATTCTTGCTGAACCTTGAGCATTATTACTGTTCATTATATTAACATTGATTATTTCTAAACAGATATTGATGAATGTAAACTGGGTACACACAAATGCAACAAGACATACACTACCTGTAAAAATACAATTGGATCGTATCGCTGTCAATGCAACACAGGATTTGAACCTGATGGAAATGATTGCAAAGGTAAAATATGACTGTTTGTTACATGAATGTAAATGTAAAATTAAACTACGTTTATTTTCAACCTGTTTTCCCTCCTGATATAATCTTTAATTAAAAAAAACTACTTTGTTAAAAAAATCTTTTCAATGTAATGATTTTGCAAGATATAGCAATATGAAAACATCATATTTACTATATCAGAATGCTTGTGTGTAAATCTGTTTATATATAGACAGCATGATAAAATTGTAGATATTAATGAATGTGGAAGAAACGTACATTCGTGTTCGAAGTACGCTTCTTGTCGGAACACGTGGGGTTCGTATCAATGTCAATGTCGAGTGGGATTCTCAGGAAATGGATGGAGCTGTAGAGGTATTGAATACCATCTTTGTTTATTGTGTTGTACGTCAAATGGTAAAGTTTTATAATTGTGAATAAAAGTGAAGATGTAAAGCTTTTTCTGTATATTCATCGGAATAGATTGCATATAAAAATATTTTACTTTTGACATATTCTGAAATGTGTTTTTTCCTTCCTAAACAGATGATGACGAATGTGCAAAAGGAACAGACACTTGTCCTGAACCAAAGGAAGGAGTGTGTACAAACACAATAGGATCATACAAATGCTCGTGTATCGCGGGATATGACTACAAAAATAATAAATGCATAGGTGACATACAAATCTATCTCTTTTCCATTAGTTGCTTTCGAAGTTTATGAAACAGAATCATAACCTTTTTTCATAAAAATATATGTCTGAAGGAAATGTTTGTATTTAGTATCTAAATATTTCAATTATTGACTTTTGCATTAAAAAAAACATGCATCGTTTAGAAAAACAGGATAAATATACTAAATGATTTGATATGCTTGGATCAAGCGTTGAAAATGAAAGAAAAATAAGAATTTGGTTACTATCTTTCAAACCATTCTAAACCCAGAACTAATGAAAATAATGGTAGTTGTCCGTGGCCGCAGTGGGTATTAAAGATCTTACCTTGTAAACCATTGTTCTATTATGACTTTTTATATGTCAAATGCATTCCTCCTAACAGATATCGATGAGTGTGTTCGAGGAAATCACAACTGCAAAGGACCGTCTCGCTGTAATAACACTATAGGATCGTTCAGATGCGAATGTCACACTGGGTATGAACTTAGGGGAGGGATATGTGTTGGTGAGTGTCAATATTAACACAATGTCTTTATATGTTACATGTAACATTTTTATTATTTTATCCTGTCATCTATTAGGATTATTCGATGTTTTGCTTATGGCTAATCCACCATTTTCCCTTGCTGATATTATTAGGAATCCTAATAGTGTATATAAAGTAAGATCAATTTGAAAGCAACTAATTTCATCTTATTTATATTTATTCATTTAACGTAAAATATTCCTCTGCTCTAAATTTCACTATTTTTTGATTTTCATCAACAACAATATCATTAGATTCAAATGGAAAATAGTTTGAAGTATGATGCGTTGCTTACTTTTTCAAAAATGAATATTATGTCTAATCATGATACGAAGAAAATTTGAGACAGTGAATAGAAAGATCAATGATTTTTTTTTATCTCAACATAAAATGAAAAATGTGAGATTGATATGAAAATGAAATTTAATATCATTCCTATTTGGTTCATATTAGAAAAAATAATGAAATGTTGCGTTTTAAATCAAAATATCACATTGTTTTCTGCTCTTGTAAAAAAAGTGCATCCATCTACAAGAGTCATCTTTCCATCTACAGGCATTATCTTTCTTCAAAATATTTTTCAGGGGGAAAAATTAATTGATTATAAAAGTTCTGCATCTAATACATGATAAATTCCTGTTAATCAAAAGAATTATATGTTAATAAATAGAAATATCTCATTTTAACTAAAGGAGCTGAATACATATGTTTTAAATAAACTGTTATAAGTAATTATTGAAGATATTTGTGATGGAAGATAGAAATCAATATTTGTAACATAGTTCAGAATTGATTGAATTGACTATATAGTGGTCCTCATTATCATACTCAAGTAAGATAATTCATTGGATTGCTTGGAATAATTTCCTTAGAAATTTATTTTTCTTATCAGAGGGACATAACACCTTAAATTCGTTTTATTGACAAATAATTTGACAATGAATTCATCAAACTTAGCACATTTTTTTCTGTAGTTTATTGAATAATGAATTAAGTTATGAAAAGATGAACTGTTTATTATTTAACCATTAAAAATTAAATTTGAGTCTGAAATAAGAGACTATCTAAGAAGAAATTTTTGTCTATATATAGATATTAATGAATGTGCAACAAAAAAAGACAACTGTGATAAAACTCCGGGATATTCTACTTGTACGAATACCGTTGGATCATACACATGTCAGTGTAATCCTGGATTTGAAGGCAACGGATTTGTTTGTAAAGGTAAATTCTATGCGCAAAATATCTACATTTATTTATAGATAAAACATTAATTTGCCTGTTAGATAACAATTCCATATGTCAAAATTTCGAGCATCAAGCGGAGTAGTTCTACCGACAGTACTCTGTTAATTTGTTTTTTTTAAATTCGAATCAATTAACTCAGCAGAAATTCTTGTCAATGTAGTGGAATGTAGTTAATAATGAATGTTTATGTTTCTAGCAAATATTGAAAAAACCTTGACAATTTGCAATATAAAATGGTCCTTTATCATTGTTCGTATTACAGAGGCCACATGGCAATATTTTAAATTTAAAATATGAATGAAAAATTTGAATTTGCGATAGTTTCAAGACTCATCGTGTCATCTATAAGGAACCGCAAAAATATCAATTTCATTATTATTATTTTTTCTCTTACCTTCACTTTTCAAAGGCTTAGAATGAAAAAGAGATTTTGGTTAAAATAGCAATACAGGAGTATCAGAATTATCTACGACGTAATCCGACTCATGGCAGACAAATCAAAAGTTGATTAGAAACGCGTATTTGAATTTACCGCCGATCGTGAAAAAAAGTTAAGCTATTGAATAGTTATGTCAAAGTATAATTATAGAGATAACTTGTTCTCTAACTTATTCCAGATATAAATGAATGTGACAGAGGTAGCGACAGATGTCATGACAAAGCTGACTGTGCCAACACAATCGGTTCCTATAACTGTACATGTATAACGGGATACGAGGGCGACGGATTTAATTGCAAAAGTAAAATTTTAGTGAATATAAAATGACTTAAGTTTCTAAATAATTAAAACATGCTGTAATAATGAAATATAACTATCAAAGAATCACACATTTTGTTAAGATATTGATGAGTGTGCAAGAGGGACACATACATGTGATAAAAGGACTTCCCCTAAACGAGCAACTTGCACAGATACGGCGGGGTCCTTTACCTGTAAATGTAACACTGGATTTGCTGGAGATGGGAAAGTTTGCCGAGGTAAAATATAAATATTGTACATTATAAGAGACTATTGCTAATTTTTACAAAGAAGTGTATTTTATTTATGAAATTCTTTGATATATATTTACTCATTAGTTGTAATCTTTTTGTAATTGAAAATCGAAATGTTTTAAATCCACTGTAAACAAAACGTGAAGGGGTCTTACATGTATATACATATAGTTGAATATAGCAAAAGATCCATTAATAAGACTAAAAGAAAAAGATAGATATATCTTCTAAATTGTTTCTCTCATTTTAGTCTCTATCATCATGTAACATCAAAATATTTTTCTTCTTTTTACGATGAAAATAAAGGTCATTTAATTTATTTCACTCAAAGAATAAACATAGCAGACCTTTACTATTCTTAGTCTTGAACTGAAAGTAGATTTTTTTTAATAAATGTTCATTATAAACAAAAGGACTTCGGTCCTTCGGGTGAGACCGTATAAACCGAGGTCGCGTGTCGCAGTAGGTGCTGGCACGAAAAAGATTCCTCACTGCTCAATGGCCCTGAGTGCCGAGCAAAGGTCAAAATTTGCAGCTCTCCACCGGCAAGTGGTGGCGTCTCCATATGAGTAAAAAAATTCTGGAGAGGGACGTTAAACAACTAACAAACAATCAAAAATAAACTGTATAAATAGATTTAAGATAAGTTATGTATAGTTTGTTTTAAAGTAGACAGTCTTGATTATACCTGTGCCTTAACTGTTCCTTCAAAATACGCAAAATTGCAAACTAATTCTGTTATCTTCTCATGCAAAAAAATCTTTTTAAAGATATTGATGAATGTGACAAAAATACACACAACTGTCATCGCCCACATGCTGAATGTTCCAATACGATAGGAAGCTTCACTTGCAAATGTAAGAAAGGATTCCGAGGGGATGGATTCACATGTAAAGGTAAGAATATATATAAAACAAAGAGAGAGAGAGAGAGAGAGAGAGAGAAAGAGAGAGATCGGTTATAATCAGAAATTTGCAATGTGAAACTATAAAGGAATTTCTTCTTTATTGGTTATATCTCTATCTAAAATATTTGTAATGATTCTTTATGCTATACGTTATACAGATTAGATTCCGTTTGAGGAACATCTTTAGATTTTATTAGCTTCTTAATTTGCATTGTTTCACAGATATTGATGAATGTAAAGAGAACACACATAATTGTCACAGACCCCACGCCATGTGTGACAATACTATAGGTTCCTTTACATGTAAATGTAAGTCTGGATATAGAGGGGATGGATTCACGTGTTCACGTAAGTATCTTTATTTTTTATCCATTCATTTTAATTGTTGACAACTCTCTGAAGGAAATACCTGTATATATACTATACTTTATAAAATTACACGAATTCAAAAATTTCTAAAACAAAAAGTTCTGAATAATCGCCCAACTAGTTTTGGATGTATGTTGGGCTACTTTATGCAGTAAAAGTCAAACGATAAAATTGATTGACAGTATCATGAATCCTTGAAGTAAAGGTAATCGTAAAATAAACATTTCAAAGATTTTTATTCTTGGTTTGAAAAAATTACGCTTATGAAATAATAAATAAGAAGTAAATAAGTTAATTAATCGGTAAGTCAAGACAGTGTAATCATTTTTTAAAGAAATATCTTCTGTTGCTCTACTCTCTATTTTGATATACTGCCAAGAATCTTTTTTTCCCGATAATTCTGATATCAATTTTGCCATGTCGATTATTCCTCGTATACCCGCAATAAAATTTTCACATTATGCCAGTATTTAACGTTAAGGATGATATTACAGCTCAAAACAGTCCACCAGTTATGTCATAAAATCACTGCATTAAAAACATCATTCAACATTTTTACAAGATAATAGCAAAAATTAGAAATAAACTACTTTTCATAATTTTACAGCCGTTAAACATTGCCTGGAAGGTACAGATGATTGTAGTAAATACGCCAAATGTACAGATCTTGCTAAAGGAGGAGATTACAAATGTGATTGTAACTTCGGTTTCTTTGGCGGTGGAAAAACATGTACTGGTAAGATCCAGTTTTCAAGAGCTTTTTTATACTCATAAATCCCACAAAATGTTTTCTTTCCTTCCTTTCTGGTTTATCTTACCCTTAAAGTCCACAAAATCGATTTTTCACTCATCATTTAAAATCCTTCATAAAAATATTGATATACTAATACTCTTATAAGTCTTTAGTGAAGATAGTAATTTAATACATTCTTACTTTCTACTCCTTTTAAATATATAAATTGATTGTCTCGGTTAATGTACATTACCTGCGGAACTTAAGCAAATTGTCTTTGTATTTATTTCTGTAGCTGTAGTGCAGTTCGACTTTAAAGATATATTTCAATATTTTGACATGTGTAAAAACTTTGTTTAACTCAAATAATCTGTGTTTTTTTCTCTTCAAGGAAGTCGAGGAAAACGCTTTCTTGTTCTCTTCATGAAAAATATAATGGATCCCACGCAAACAAGTCCTGGTCCAAAGCACGCACAGATTTACATTGCATCCGTAGATAAGACAGACCTCAAAGTTACTACATCTGCCAGCTTGTCTTCCAAGTTAAAGACCAAGATAGACAGGAGAGAATCTATGAAATCAAATTCTGAGAAGATACTCACCATACCCTTTGAAATTCGAGTAAACGATTTCCAAGTAGAAAACAGGGGAATTATAGTGGAAACGACTAAAACTACTTCGGTATTCGCCCTGAATCATGACGGTTATACATCTGACAGCACTCTTATCCTGCCAATAGACAGACTGGGGACTAAGTATATAGTGCCAACAACAGTACCTTACGATAGCCGCCACTCTGACTACAACAGCCAAATAGCCTTTGCAGCAGTTGAAGATCGAACACGTGTAACAGTTGTTCTAAAGCTTCCTATAGGACAATCCATAAGTTATCTTGGTAAGAGGTATACGGACGGGGGCAGAATCATTGTAAATTTGAACAAATATCAAACCTTCCAGCTTTCACATAATGGCGATCTGACTGGAACCAGAATTTCTTCAAGTAAGATTGTTGCAGTTTTCTCTGGAAATCGATGTAACAAACTGAATCGATTCGGCTTCTGTAGTCATTTGGTGGAGCAAATCCCTCCAGTGGAAAGCCTGGATACAACCTATGTGGTTCCTCCACATGTGGAGAGAAGTGGAACTCATGTCAAAGTGGTGGCTGCTCACACTGGGTCCACAACCTTCTCTTACTCTGTAGACACATCCAAAAATACAACAACTATAGGCACATATGGTAACTTTGATAAAATTGTTACTGGTAAACAAGCGGTTGTTATCGAAGCTAAGCGACAGGTGCTTGTTTTGAGTTTTGGTCTTGGAGCATTTAGGTCAAGGAACGGAGATCCCTATATGACAATGGTCCCTGGTGTTAACCAGTATGTTCATCAGTACCACATCGCTGTGCCAGATGGATTTGATAAAAACTATATTGCTATAATTGTGAAGAAAAGTTCAAAGAAAAACTTGCGAATGGACAATGCCATCATTAGTTCCTCGGACATCGTGTCTGAGAGTTCTGTCAGAGTCGGAGGCACAGAGTATATCGCAATGGCTGTCAGTACCACTAAAGGTGTGCACCGAGTAGAGACCACAGACAAATCCCTATTTGGTCTTATGGTTTATGGTCACGGGCGTGATGATGGATACGGTTTCGCTGCTAACATTCTTGGTCCTGGGAAAATCTAAAAATAAAGCATTCTCTGACTTCTCATATGTCAACATTTTATTTTAATGACCTTTTTAAACTGGCAATGAATAAATCTTCCAAATTCATTTTTTTAAAGGATCCTTTCTTTACCTGTACTTTGCTTGCGATAAATGGAAAGGTTGTTTTGTCAACTTATCCTAAAGCTCTTTTGAACTCGTTTCTGATCAAAGAGGCTGTCCACTTGACATCTTTTCGAAAATCTTTTCAAATTTTAAACGTCCAGAGTTAGTGGGCAGTTTCTACCAAACTTCCTCAAAGTACCTCTAGATGATAATTCAATATTTTTAAAATAAAGAGCTGATCCTTTCTCTCTCTCGAGGTATTAAGAAAAAATAAAATATCTTTGGGTTATTTGGAATTTCTGTAAAAATTCGACCCAAAAAAGTAAAAAGAGAGAAAGAGAGACAGAGAAGGCTCCCTAATGACTTTTGATTCAAAATTATTTAAATTATTACCCCTAAAGTCTTGGTGATGCTAGAGTAAGGAAATATATTATAACTTTGAAATCTTGGTGATGAAATATATGGAGATAACGAACAATATTCAGGCTCAAAAGTAAATCAAACAATACAAATTTTGGAGCAGAGCAAACACGGACCTCTACGTGGGATCACGTACCAAGGAGGAGTGAGCATCCCCTAAGAACCGGTCACACCCGTTGTATGCTCCTTGTCATGATCGTGAAATAACGGGAAAATCCGTCGACAATTCAGTGTGATGCTATGATGAGGAAAGAAATTATAACTTTAAAATATGAGGGAAGAATCTACAAGTAACCTAAATCTAAGTATAAATGTATCTATGCGAATGAACTACATATTAAAACGCATAAGGGCTATGTCTATCGTAAAGAAGAATTAAAAACTTGTTTTCTAATACAAACTTGATTTCTAATACAAACTTGGTACGCAGGACATATTTTGACGTCATATTATAACGTCCTGGTTCTGCACTACCCAAGGATATAAGGAACATCAACTAAACAGCACAAGGACATACCCTATTCTATTTTACAGAAAGAAGGTATAAATAGAAGCAAAATATTCCGAGGATTTATGATATTGATGTGCAAATGTCGACAGTGCAATTGTTAAGTTACAATTCGTAAAGTTTTGAGTTAAAACCGTGTAAAAATTCATAGTCCAGTGTAAATTTTTATCAAACGAGAAAGTGCATAGGATTTATGCAGAATTTTTTATTAATTTTTAGAATATTCTTCTTAATGTTAAACATATTTATTTTAAACGAAATAGAATATGCACTTGCGCCGACGCTGTTTGTTGATGTGTTTTATTACCTTGAGTGGTAAAGAATAATGACGTCATAATGTGCACAACCTTTAACATGTTGCGGATACTAAGTATGTATAAGAAGTATATTAAAACGTTATCTATATTTTTTAGTTTATTTGCATGAAAACGCCTATACCTAGCTATTACCCAGTCGCGTCATTATAACTCTCTTGGAAAATTTTAGGGACACAATTAGTTGTATTTATTAATTTGTAAGCATCTGCGTGTGGTAAAGATATGAGTAAAAAATGAAAGTAGCTAACAGTGATTGATTTCAAAATACTATATACTGGTACAATCGAATCTGAGAACAAGACATGAAACCAAGACCCCTTAAAATTCTTGAGGTGAAATCAGGTGCCTAGGATGAGTAAGCATCCCTCTTCGACCGGTCATACCCGCTGCAAGCCCTATGTAAACGAGGTAAAATATTGACAAACAAGTTGATGAAACAAGAATATCAGCAGTCTCGTTTAAAGTCATTATTTCGTAAGTTCTATGGTCGATACAATGACCTTGTCAGCAAATACAATTTATCATTGAGTCAAATGCTGACTGACGTTTTTCATATTAATTGCTAGGCCATTATTTACACACTGAATTGTCGACGGATTTTTCCGTTATTTCCCGATCATGACAAGGAGCACACGGCGGGTGTGACCGGTTGGCAGGGGATGCTCACTCCTCCATGGCACCTGATCCCATCTTTGATGTTTTGGACGGCCGTGTTTGCTCTGCACTTATTTTGTAATTTTTAATGGACTTTTGCGCTTGAATACTGTTCGTTATCTCCACATATTTCATGTATTGATCGGGTAGACGGAATAATAATTAAATTAAATATAAAACAAAGTCAGACAACATAATATATTAAATATGTCAAATCATAATACGAACTCATGATAGGTTATACAAGTGATGTTGAAATATTTCTACATAAAAAAAAGCGTTAAGAATGAAAAAGCTGCTATACAGTTTATATGTGGTTTGGTCATAATCGTCTATTGTCAGTAAAACATCCAAATATGAAGTGGTTGTAACAGAATCTGTTATTCCCTTTATTTTGGGTTGATTGGGAGTCGAAATATGGTGTTTTTGAAACTCATTGCTAATGGGCGTGTGAGCAATCAAAATAAGATGTAAAAAAAAAATTACACGAAAATTATCTTAGTATATGTTATTTTAATGTATGAAAAGAAAAGCGCCGTTACAATTCATATTTATATCATATTTATATGCAAGAAACTTAGATTGTATGCATAAAAGTTTTTTTTCTGAATTAGATGGAAAGATGAAGATAACAAATGCCTACAAATTATTCTCCGAAGAAATTTTATAGTCTATATATGTCACAATATTATGCAAGCTTCCGTAGAGAGTGTTTATTCTATGGTTAAATTACGAATTCTTCAGGTAGAATTTGGACACAACAAGGCAAGAGAGATTTGCAACTGATATTTTTTTCCTTTTAACAGCAGGACATTGATCAGTCACTTTAATTTTAAAGCATTTGAATATTTTTAGTGTATAAAATCAAGTCCGTAAGGTAAGGCGCGTTTAAAATGGGGAATTTTATAAGAGAGATAATGTAAATGAATTAAAAAAAAAACAACTTTGATTTATTTGTTTTCCAGACTCCAGTTAATTATTAAAATTGAGAGAAAAACATCTAAAAATAATATTTCCTTGAGCAGAGTGAATTGAGGAAATTTGATAAAGTATTCTATTTTCCCTTTCTATGCCTCCATGTTTGCTTCATGATAGGTTTTAAAACAGGCATAATGTAAAGTGCTTATTTGCAAAATATCACAACTTTAGTTTTGTCTTGTTTTTCTGTTCTTTTTTTTTAAATAAAGGACCACATTATGCCATTACCATTTCTTTCCTTTCGTATGGTACAAATAATCAAAACAAACTGATGTTTGACGTTTTTTTAATTTAATACAACTCTAACAAAGAGTAAATAAATGGTTTACTCGTACCAGACATAGGTGTTTCTCCGTACAATATTGCTCTGAAACTTCCTTTTTACCCACTGATGTTCATCAAGAAATACTTGATTACAAGTGATGATGAAACCACTGTAAACTTGACCAAAGTAATCAAAATTTTTGACCAAATGCAAAGATATGTCATTTTATTAGCTTAAATATTGAACCTCTTAATTTTAATTAATTGGCATGTTTAAATTACTTTTATTTTGTACATCTGATTCTCTTTCGCTCAGAAAGAGATAGAAATATATTTGGATATGAGTTTTGAAAAGGTGATATTTTACTTCATTAGTCTTTCGAGTATAATTACATTGTTGCGTGTGAAAATACACGCCTGATTGGGAGCAGATGGCGATGTAGAAGACACAACACTATAGCTTTAATTGAGTGTGAAATTGAAAGCGGTGAGTACAATTTTTTCAATTAACAAGTGGTAAATTGGTTGTATTGATTTGCAATTAAATTGACGAATGAATTTTTAAAGCGTTAGCAAGGGTTTTACCATATCAGCCGGCCATGGTTAGATTTATGTGCGCCATATTTAAACGAGATATGTAAAACATAGCGGCCGCCATGAATATACTTTTATTGCGTTTCCAGTATTGACACCTACATTCTAATTTATTATGTAGTTAATTATGTTTTGACTATGTGGCTTGTACCTTTTCGGGAGAGAGAGAGAGAGAGAGAGAGAGAGAGAGAGAGAGAGAGAGAGATTGTATACCTATTGATATATAGAAAGAGTGTACAAGCCATATAAACAAACGAATTGAGTAGACTACATTACTGAGCTTGCATACTTTCATTCTTTTTACACATCAATAAATATTTAAATTAATAAACCAAGATCCAAGAAGTTGTGTGTATAAAGGATGTCTCATAATTAACAAACATACGAACCAGGTGTCTGGGGTCACAGAGAGTTACCTTTCAAAATGTTTTGTCCCTTTTTGATCTACCCATTTTTGCTTTTGTATTTTTTTAAGCCTTTTTCTTCAGAAATCGTAGAATAAAGGTCTCTCTTCTAACGAAATGTCGTTCAGCAAGTCAAAGTTTAACAATTATCTTCCGTTGGTATGAAAAGTCGCGTGTTGCAATTCTTAGCACTGTCAAGCTTTTATGAGCATAGAAAAAAAGATGATACATACAATAGAGTTATACCAGATTTATTATTCCTTTGCAACAGAATTGGAAGGGATATAGTAACAAACTTAATAAATGCATTACTGAGTTTTTTTTAACTAAATTGGACAAAAAATGTTGCCATGATTACTAACAAGATTCGGCGACATTCTCTCAAAACGCACATCCTCGCAATCTTTGGTCAGTCAATAAATCTTTGTACAATTGTAGACTACGCTTAGCAACATTTTTATATTCCCATGAAGAAGAATTTATTCAAAAACTTCTACATGAAAAGAGGAAAACACTCCTTCAACTCGACACAAGAAATGTCGACGACGTTTAATCAATTAACAATAGTTATTTCCATTTATACGTCAACTTGATTTATCTCAGTGAACTTGAAATAAAAGATACCACTGAGTCAGATACACATCTGATTCCTGATTGGATTTTACTGACTTTAGACGACAAAGCTCAACGAATCACTTAATTGTATGACGAACGTGATGACTTCATCTTTTCCATCGTCAACTTTCCTTATTTATGTAGTAATATTTTGTTTTCA